ATTTTATTTTCCTGGGCTCCAAGATCACTGCAGATGGGGACTGCAGCGATCTTGGAGCCCAGGAAAATAAAATCTGTCACTGCCTCCATTTCTTCCCCATCTATTTGCCAGGAAGTTAGAGGACTGGATGCCATGATCTTAGTTTTCTTAATGTTGAGTTTCAAGCCAACTTTTGTGCTCTCCTCCTTCACCCGCATCAAGAGGCTCTTTAGTTCCTCTTCACTTTCTGCCATTAGAGTGGTTTCACTGCATATCTGAGGTTGTTGATATTTCTCCCAGCAATCTTAACTCCAACTGGTGATACCTCTAGCCCTGACTTTCTCATGATGTGCTCTGCATATAAGTTAAATAGGCAGGGTGACAGTATACAGCCTTGCCAAACTTCTTTCTCAATTTTGAACCAATCAGAGGTTCCATCTATAGTTCTCACTGTTGCTTCTTGACCCGCATATAGGTTTCTCAAGAGACAAATAAGATGGTCTGGTACTCCCATCTCTTTAAGAACTTGCCACAATTTGTTGTGATCCACACAATCAAAGGCTTTAGCATAGTCAATGAAGCAGAAGTAGATGTTTTTCTGGAACTCCCTAGCTTTCTCCATGATTCAGCGTATGTTGGCAATTTGATCTCTAGTTCCTCTCCCTCTTCGAAATCCTGCCTGTACTTCTGGTAGTTCTCGGTCCACGTACTGCTGGAGCCTAGCTTGTAGGATTTTGAGCATCACTTTGCTAGCATGTGAAATGAGTGCAATGGTGCGGTAGTTGAACATTCTTTGGCATTGCCCTTCTTTGGGATTGGAATGTAAACTGACCTTTTCCAATCCTGTGGCCACTGTTGAGTTTTCCAAATTTGCTGGCATGTTGAGTGTAGTACTTTTACTGCATCGTCTTTTAGGATTTTGAATACCTCAGCTGGAATACTGTCACCTCCACTAGCTTTGACTGTATAGAGCTTCTCCATCTTTGGCTGTAGAGCACATAGTCAATCTGATTTCTGTGTTGACCGTCTGGTGATGTCCATGTGTAGATTCATCTCTTGGGTTTTTGGAAAGGAGTGTTTGCTATGACCATCGTATTCTCTTGACAAAATTCTACCAGCCTGTGCCCTGCTTCATTTTGTACTCCAAGGCCAAACTTGCCTGTTATTCCAGTTATCTTTTGGCTTCCTACTTTAACATTCCAATCCTTCATGATGATGAGGACATCATTTTTTGGTGTTAATTCTAGAAGGTGTTGTAGGCCTTCATAGAACTGGTCAACTTCAGCCTCTTCAGTACCAGTGGTTGGGACATAGACTTGGACTATTGTGATGTTGAATGGTTTTCCTTGGTTCGAACTGAGACCATTCTGTCATTTTGGAGGTTGTATCCCAGTACTGCTTTTCCTACTCTTTTATTGACTATGAAGGCTACTGCATTTCTTCTGAGGCATTCTTTCCTGCAGTAGTATACCTGATGGTCATCTGAATTAAATTCACCCATTCCTGTCCATTTTAGTTTACTGATTCCTAAGATGTCGATGTTCAGTTTTGTAATCTCTTGTTTGACCACATCCAGCTTGCTTTGATTCATGGATCTTACATTCCAGGTTCCTGTGGAGTATAGATCTTTGCAGCATTGGACTTTCCTTTCACCATCAGATACATCTGCAATTGAGTGTCCTTTCGGCTTTGACCCAGTTGCTTCATTCTTTCTGGTGCTACTAGTACTAGCCCTCTGCTCTTCCCCAGTAACATATTGGACACCTTCCGACCTGAGAGGCTCATATTCCAGCATCATATCTTTTTGCCTTTTGGTACTGTCCATGGGGTTTTCATGTCAAGGATACTGGAGTGGGTTGCCATTTCCTTCTCCAGTGGATCATTTTTTGTCAATGTGATCTGGAGCATAGGGTTGGCAAACAGGAAGCAGTGCCTCAGTTTTTTGTAGTGGCCATTTTATGTTCTATACATTTAGAGCAGAGCTGCATGCTGTATGAGCCACTGAGTATGTAGCTTTGTCTTTTAGCTAATGATCTGTATTTTGATTCCAGTAAATGACCTTGATTTGATTTCCTGAAGTATATTGATATGGTTTGCTTCCTATTCTCATTCCTTTGTAAGTCACTTATTGGTTTTTCAGGGTCTCTCCATATCCAGCACACTGTGATGTCAGCAATTCGGCTCAGCTATAGGGAGAACATGCAGATTGACTGGGATGGGCATGGAACACTTGTGATGAAGGTATGGTTCCTTCTTCCATTCATAACTTACTTAGATGGTTTATCTAAGAAATGTTCCTTATGGTATGCTGGATATTCCAGGTTTTCTTTTTGGTGCAACAGCACATTAAAGCAGAGCCCTTTATCTTTTCTTGAAATGTAAATGTTTGCATTTCAGGACTGCTTTGGTCTCATTTAATTTCCATGTTTTGATGGTTGTATACTGTCAGGAACTCTGCAGCTTGAACCCAGTCTGAGACCTGGCTTGGTGAGCAACTGGGTCTATGAATGTTTATATCCTGCAGCTCTAGTTCAAAGAGAATAGTGTTGTTTAGTAACTACCCCTGAAATAGCATGCCTCTGGACTGGTGAGGCTTGGTATGAATAAGTCTCCTTCTGCCAAGGCCTGGTCAATTGAATGTGACCTATTGTAGCTCAGACTTTTCACATTTAACAGCCTATTCCTGCACATAATTATTTGAACAAAGTTTGTCCTAATTTTGCTTTCAGATAATTTGGCATGGGATCACAACCTGTCTATGCTCCTAACAGGAAGTCCTCTTGAATTCAGTTGGACTTTCTTCCAAGCAAATACGGATAAGGCAGAGTTCTTAGGGCAAAAGTGCATTCAGTGCTTAGTGCATTCAGTGCTTAGTTGCATGTAGTTTAGCACTGCCATTTTTTTGTTTCATAAAATGCAACTGTAGAGGCAATAACCTAAAATCAGAAAACTAGTACCATGTGTGCTTGTGCGATTAACACTTTCTTACAGCAAACCATTGTTTCTCCATTGGAATGCAAAGTGACCAAATATGCCACATTTCACCATGCTTCCTGAATGCACACATGTAGGCCAGAGCCATCACACACACTCTCTCACAGACCAAGTCTCTCACATAGTTCCATTCAATTCTCTCTCCTTTCTCACTTCCTCAGACCCATCTCTTTTTTCTGCTGCTTTTTCTCCCCTTTCTGTATCCTTCTCTGTCTTTCTCTCTTGGTGACTACCCTTTCATTTCTCTGCCGCCCCCCGCCCCCACACACACCTCAGCATGCCTCTCCTGGCCTCTCCTTGGTCTTTGAAAAGATTAATGGCTGCATTGTGCATGTGTGAGAAGACTACATGGGGAAGAAAGGGTTAGCCCTTTCCTAATTCCATATTTCCCCCTCCCCAAAAGCACCCCCCCCCGTTACACACTATGCTGTTTTATTGTTTGAAGTGTTGAATGTTCCCCAGTCTGTTTTCTGTTGAGAAACTTTTTTGCTACCACATCCTTTCTAAGTTTACTTGGAAGTACAAACAGTGAATTCAGATTAGTTTAATTGATCACAAGTTGTGGACATTCATGGTGTCAGGATCTGGGCTGCTCTGGTGGCCAGAACAAGAGCAACTACCACCATATTTGCATGATCAGCCCCAGGTCCAGCTAGGAGGCCTGGAAGAAGAGCTGTATAAGAGCAAGCTCTTCCCTCCAGAACTGCAGTCAGCAATGAAAGTCCTCCTGTTTGCTGTAGTGATCAGAGGTTATAGATGAAGTCAAGAGTGTACAGTGATATGCAGGACATTGTTGATAGATTATTTCATGCTCCTGAGGAATAATGTGGCCTGAAATCTTGCTACCTCTGCTTCAGGAGTCAGTGGGAGATGGATTGTGGTGTCTACCTTCATACTACTACCTAATTTCCAGTGGACACAATTGTGCCTTACTGTTTGGCATTATTTTTTGGGTAAAGAACATTAAACTAGCTAGAGCTTGTATTAAGGAAAAAACCCTTCTTATTCAAAGATCGTTTAATACTCAGATCACTTGACACATTTGTTGCACCATAACAGTTAAGACAAAATGAGTTTGCTTTCTTGTACTTACAACACGTCAGTGGGTCATGAACATTCTTTTAAAATATCATGCATGATCAATGTTGTAACTAACTTTTCCCTATATTCCTTTTTTAGTTTGGTTTAACCATACTCTAGACCATGTCATCCCAGATAATGTCTTCCTGTTTTCTACTTGAAAATGTTTACCACAGTTATGATACTAAAAGCTATAGTATTAAATAGTATATATTTCCTGCTTTAATCCTTTCCATACTCAGGAAATCATTTTTTAAAAAATCATTGTGTTCCTTTCCATCTGTTCATTAAACACCAACCTATTGTTGCTTTTGGAGCACTCAGAAATAATCTGACACACACAGAACGAGCTGATTTGCCAAACATTTTAGATAATTGGGGGAAGTGATTCATTGCCAGTGATCAGAGCAGACAGTTTTATAAATGCAGCACTGTCTAAGCCTTCCTGCTATGTTCCTGGAACACGGCATTTTTTGCCTTGTTCTGTGGCCTTATCTGTAATGGGAATCCACTCTCTGGTCATCATCCATTATTTTCAACAAATACCTTGGAAGATGGAGATTATATGTTTTGGCACTTTTGGAAAATCCCAGTGTAATTATGAAAGTACTTCATTTTGGCAATATTAATTATGCAGTATTTTAGAAGCTTCTGTGCTTCTTTCCCACAAACTAAGGAACTTGAGAGCTGTAATATAATGCTAAAATATTAAGGCTCTCATTGAAATCAGTAAGATTTGCAAGTGCTTAATTTAATACTCAGGAGTAAATTCTTCTCAGTGTTTAAATGAGCCTACTCCAAGGTAAGAGGACATTGGATGGTAGCTTAACTGAATGAAGTAAAAAGGTCCCATTGAATTGGAGCCTAACAGTGCAAATCTGATTCATGACAAATTCCATTGTATCCTACTGACTCAATGAAATTTACTCTTAGGTAATTTTCCGTAGAATTACATTATAAGTGTATATTTTTAGAACCATGGTGCATATATAGGACATGGAGCTCTTGGGGAACAAGATGGTCCCCTTGAGAGAAAGGTGACTGACCTAAGGAAGCTGAGAGAAGTCAAGTAGGCAAACTTTGGGGGATGCTGTAGGGTTGTCCTCCCTTGCAGGTAGCTGTAAAATACTAGAACTTGCAATGGCAGTGACATTTATTAGTGGATTCAGGACAGCCAAATTTGGTACTACTTTACACAATATTTTAAATATAGAATTTGCTAGTACATGCCTGGGCAGTTTTAAAAGGCATTAAGCAAATTAATAAAGGATAGTTTTATCAACAAATACTAGCCATAGTGGCAAAATGGAATCTCAAGTAGAAACATAGAAATAAAGCAAATCAGAAGGGGCCTTCCAGGCCATCTAGTCTTACCCCTGGATCTAGCTGGCTCTGCTCATGTAATACCCAACATGTGGTTGTCCAATCTTTCCTTCATCATCCTCCCTGATGGGGCCTCTAACACCTCCCTTGGAAGTACATTCCATATCCTAGGGGTCCTAACTGTCAGGAAATACTTTCTGAATCCAACCTGAAGCCTGGTTCCTTGACCTTTGCCCCATTGGAATGTGTCCTACCCTCCTTTGCAGGGAAGAACAAGACACGGCCCTCCTTCACATGACATCACCTCACATACCTGTATGTTGCCAACAAATCCCCTCTGAGTCTCCTCTTCTCTAGGTTGAAAAGACCCAGTTTCCTCAATCTTTTCTCATATGTTATCCCTCCCAACTCGGCTACCATTCTTGTGACCCTGTGCTGAACTGATCCTATCCTAGTTATGTCTCTCCTATAATGTGGAGCCCAGAACTGGACACAGTACTCTGTGGGTGCAACAGAGTTGTGTAGAGTAGTGTCAACTCCTCTCTAGATCTGGAAGCCACACTTCAGGCTATACATCCAAGGGTGGTGTTCGCCTTCTTAACTGCCGCATCACACTGCTGGCTCATGTTCAGCCTGATGCCAACAGTACTCTAAGATCCCTTTCACAAGTGTTCTCCAGCCACTTGTCCCCCATCCTGTACCTGTGACACCTATTCCTGTGTCTCAAAGTGCAAGGCCTTACACTTATCCACACTGAATGCCATCCTCTGGTTCCTTGACTGCTTCCACAGCCTTTCCAGATCTTTCTGGATCTGGATCACCTGCTCCTCAGTTGTGGTCACTGCCCCTACTTTGGTATTATCCTCGAATTTAGTCAGCAGACTGGTTTGTACCCTCCTCCAGGTCACTAATAAAAAGATTGAACAGAATCGGTCCCAGAACTGAGCCCTGGGGGACTCCACTCGTCACTGGCTGCCATCCTAATGATTCCCCACTGATAGTCACACTTTGCTTTTGGTCCATCAGCCATGCCCTAATCCAACTGATGATGCATCAATCATCATCAATAGTTGATGGTGCTCAATTATTTCTCAACCAGGAAATCATGGGGCACTTTGTCAAAGGCCTTGCTGAAATCCAGGTAAACCACATCCACCACATCCCCTCTGTCTAGCCACCTCGAGACCTTGTCATAGAATTCCATGAAGTTCATCTGGCAGGAACTGTTTTTATGGAATCCATGCTGCATGGCTGCCAACACCTCATCCCTCTCTAGGGTTTCTAGAATTTTCCCTATTATGAGACTTTCCATCATCTTGCCCAGAATTGGACGTAAAGCTAACTGGTCTGTAGTTCCCCATATCCTCTCTGCTATCTTTTTTGAAGATAGCAATCACTGATGCCACCCTCCAATCCTCTGGAGCTTCACTCATTTTCCACGAGCCCCCAGAACATAAGCCAACAAACGAGAGAGTACCTCTGCCAATTCTCGATGTACCCTTGGGTGTAGTCCATCAGGGCCCAGCACCTTTGTAACATCCAGGGTCTTGAGGAGCTGCTTAACTTCTAGAGAGGTGACTCCAATCTGTGCCCCTATAACCCCAACCTCATATAGTTCCCCAAGTAGATCTCTCCCAACCCTCTTTGGGGAGAACACAGAAACAAAATAATTTAACATCTGTGCCTGCTCCATTACATCAGTTACCAGATCCCCTCCCTCCCTCCCTCCCTCCCTCCCTCCCTCCCTCCCTTTTAAGTTGTCCCACTGCCTGTCTCCCTTTCCTCTTCCTATTTACATGAAGGTAGCAGCCCTTTTTGTTGCCCTTGACATATTTGGAAATCTC